TTTTTTTCCTTCTTTAGCACTCTCTCTCTTCAGCCTGCTTCTTCATCTTGAAAATGTTGTAGTTGGAATACTCTGCCAACATCACTGTTAAGTTTTACTGATGCTCAAAATTATTATTATTATTAGTAGTAGTAGTAGTATTTAATATCAGCTTTCGTTTACTGTTGATATGTCACTGTTTTTCTTACTTTTTAAGACTGTTGCTTTTTTTTATAGATGATTCCCCCAAGAGGTTGTGCTTATGTTTGCATGGTTCATAGACAAGATGCATATCGTGCTCTTCAGAAACTTAGTTCTGGGTCCTATAAAATTGGATCCAAAATCATTAAGGTAAGTTGATTTTAATCGAGGAATGCTGTTCTCTTTCAAATACAATACAGTTTTAGTGTGTTGATTTGCCGCTTGAAAGCTGTTCGATACACAGTGTACGAAAGGAGAATGAAGCAATGAGAGCTAAATTGTTTTCTTTCCTCTCCCGGTAAAATGCAGGTTTTGGCAGGCAGTATGGAAGATAGGCAAATTAAATTATAACTTCATGCTTAGGAAGTACTTGGAAAATAGGTTATGTATATGCTAATGATTTGAATGCAAGACTGTAAACAGCCTAAGTTCTGTACCTGACCATGTGGAGCACTTAATATTATATTTGGGAGTATTCTTATAGAGTTAAGTAGTTTAAATGGTGATCAAATCTGTAATTTTTCTACTTCCTTTGATGCTTTAGGGTGAGTCCTTGAAATAGGGAGCTTTTAATTTCTGCATATGTCTGTTAGTATTAATGTAGAACAAATTCAAGCTCTTTAATGTAATTAATCTTCCACGTGCCAAATAAACTTTCTACCAATTATTTTAAAATTAAAAACTTGTTAAAACTTCAACAAGTAGACATTCAAGATTGATCTTAAATGGCAGAAATGCGAAAGAAGTTATCTTAAATATTCTGTTTATAGGTTTTTTGGTTTAACCGGTTTATCTGATTGGATTTTGTTTTCAGATTGCCTGGGCTTTAAATAAAGGTGTGAAAACAGAGTACAAGCAGTTCTGGGATGTGGATCTGGGAGTTTCATATATCCCTTGGGAGAAAGTTAAATTGGATGATTTGGATGGCTTTGCTGAAGGTGGCATGATTGACCAGGAGACAGTAAATACTGGTATGGACTCTAATGATGATTCTAATAATTAGAAAAAGTGTTTATTCCCTGGTAATGGCCACTCCTCAGAAAGTTTACTATTTTAGATAATACATACTCTTTTCAATTTACATTAATTATACTATCTACGTGTTTATGATATAAATGGCACTGAAATCCTGAAATCTGGGTTGTCGTTGTAGTTGAGTAACTAACTGATCATCATTAGCAGTGATCAGTTGTCAGAAGAATCAATTTAAGCAAGACAATAAGGGTTAGCATTTTTTAAAGTAGTTCTGAATTTTCTGTATACTGTTTTCCAAGTATGTCAAATATTAATTTGTGTAAAATTTATGACCTGGTTGTTACTGTGAAAAATCCTATACTAAGGTATAAGACTTAGTTGAAGTTGACGCTTGTCCAGATGGGTGTCCGTTGGCTGGACCTTTAGGTATTTTTTCAATAAAGCCAAAGAGACTAGAAGTAGGTGATGTTGGATCTTACCGTGAAACCAAGCTCAACTGAGAGAGGTTTATCAGATTTGTAAAAGAGTCACAAGTAATGTATTTTCTTGAAATGGTTCTAGCTCAGAAACGCACCAAATGACTGGACTCTCTTTACAGAGTCCAGAAGCAAACAGTGAATTAATCCAATTCTATATGAGAGACAATAATTTTCAGGTCAAAATGTACCCATTCTTTAAGTAAAAAATGTATATAAATGTCAGAAGAATTGAAACGTGAAACGTTACTGAAATACGTTCAAAGGATTATATTGTCCTTCAAATGCAAAATTTTTTCCCTTGTGTTGGTGGAAGTGAATCTGAGGAAGAGGAAAAACGAATAGATTTGGTGTGTGTTTTGTTTTAATTGGGGATCTTCTGTCATTATAATCGAGCCAGCTGGTAACGTAGATATGTTGTCAACAGTAATATGTAGAAAACTGGAACGTCGTCTGTGTTACAAATTACAAAATGATTGTTGGAAAAACTTGACAAGTTTTAAAGATTCAATTTATGTACCAGCCTAATTAAACAGTATATTGCAGGTGATTAGAGGTTTTGATCTTATTTAAAGGAAAAAAATAAATATAATTGCACTTGCTGTTTTAATAGTAATTTTGGAGAACATTTGTAATGACTCTATATAGATAGCAGATTAAAATTTGGTGTTTAAGAGTACTTTTTAGTATGTGAACCAAAATAACACCTTAATTATCTTTTTATATAAAAATATTCCTTTCTTAAGAATGGGAAACAGCCAGAAGCTCAGAAGCTGCTAAAGAAAACATTCAAACTACGCAGAGTACTGCAGTTGATAAGAGCACAGTTATTACAACGCAGACAGAAGCTTACACGCAACCAGTCACTATGCTGCAGGTTTGTATTAAAGTTTGAGTTTACAAAACCTCTACAGATCCGGAGGGGAAAGTTTATATTCAATACAGATAAACTTCAGTGCTGAGTTAGATGTATATTTATCTCTGAAACACTTGAGAGTCCTTTATCTCATGCCGTAGCACAAAGTATCTCAAACTTGAGTAGGCTCTGAAATAAAGACTTAAATGCTGAAGGCAGAATGAATGTTGAAGTACTGGCACCTTAGTTTTTAAGGAGAAATTGAAGTGAGCAAACCACTAAAGCACCTGTCTGTGAACGGAGCAAGTCAATATTGTGTTCACTTGTGCTTGTTAACTCTTTGCTTTTCCCCATATATATCAGGTCTGAGTAAAAGTTTGAATTACTTTCCCAGTAATTTTAGGCAGAATTTCATAAGGACAATCTCATCTTTAAAAGAGCGGATTATTCAAAGGAGTATGTTGTTGAAATCGGATATAGGGAGTAATTCATGAGAATCTGACTCTCTGCTGCATTTTCTTCTTTCCACTAAAACAGAATTTTTATTAACTTCTAATCAGTAGTAGAGTATTGTGGAAGGCTGGAGGAGCATGGTGTGTTTTTCCTCAAGTATACAACACAGTACATGTTTATCAAATACTTATTCAGATGCTTTTTGTCAAACTCTTTAAATCCTTTTTATTTTGACCAAATGAAATTGCAAAATGAAAAGCAGTTAATGAATATAAAACTCTTCTGTATTCCTATTTTAATTCATTCATCTTTATTGCTGTTTATAATTATTTCCAGAATTGAGCGTGTCCTTTGTGGAAGTTTGAGCTTTTTTCTTCTCATAAAAATTGTCTTCGGCCTTTTTATTTCATCTGTTTCCTAGCATACACTGTGATCAGTATATATTTAAATATGTGTATTTAATCTTTTATTTTGTTGCTTATTACTCTTAACATTCTACATTGAATCAAAAGGCATAACTCAAACAGAAGTTTGAGAGATAGGGGATCATTTTCAGGGTTTCGTCCAGATTATTGGCCTGAAACTATATGTTAAGCTCTCAGATTTCCAATACTGTTCTAAAATATGTGAATTTTTCTAACGAGAACGGAATCACTGTTTTTTAAGTGCTCTCAGATTGCCTTTTTATCTACATTTTTCTTCCTTTTTTCTTTCTCTTCCTTTTTGTATTCCTCTCTCTCCTATAGGTAAATTTTCTTGAATAAGTACAGTATCTAACCATGTATTTTCAATTATTTTTAGAACAAAGAAAAGGTAGCATAGTATTCTTCCAGAGTTCTTGTTTATCTGTAGTGTAGGTACCATTTCGGAATGCTATCTCATGCTTCTAGGTGTTCAGAATTTATGCAAAGCCTTTGGTACGTTTACTACTTAACAAGAATTGCAGTTGAGTCAGTTTATCCCTCTTTCAGTGCCACTGAATGCTGTAAGTATTGAAGTTGCTTGTTTGTTTGTTTTTTTTTCCATCAAAAAAGATTCCGGTAGCTCCAGCTGTGCCTGCTGTTAGCTTAGTTCCACCTGCGTTTCCTGTCACAATGTCTGTCCCTCCTCCTGGTTATAGTGCAATTCCTCCTCCACCCTTCTTGCGAGCAAGTTTCAACCCTTCACAGCCACCTCCAGGTAAGTTAGCAAAAATGAAGTTGAGCATGCAATAACTTGTGTGTGGTCTATGTACCTCGTGCTTCGTACACTTTTCCATCAGTTGTTGTTTACTGTTGGAGCGAGTTGGCCTTTGAATCTCTAATTTAATCTAGTATGGAATTTCTTATGTCTAACTTGATATTATTTCCTATCAGTGTATTCAGTGGAGAATGTTAATTAAAGCTAAATCATTTTTGATCTTTGATTTAAAAAAATAAATAAATAAACAAAAAGAAAAAATTCTCAGCATTACTCTCCTATCTTTGGAAAATGTGGAAATTATGAAAGATGAACGTTGAAAGTTTCTTCTATAGATATTGCTGACAGAAATCATTTTGAAAGATACGCATGCAGATCTTTTACAATAAAAATGACCACTTTTGAAAACAACCACCGTTGGTACCTCTTCCCATACATCTGTTGTTTGCTTGCTAATCCTCAGTGAAGCAACTTTGAGGATGAATACTGTTAGTGAGATTTAAAATGCAAGCTTTTATTTGCTTTCCAATGTAATAAGGTCATTTTTTCCATGTAGGTTTTATGCCCCCCCCAGTCCCACCTGTTGTCCCACCACCTGTTGTCCCACCACCTGTTGTCCCACCGGTAGTTCCAACATGTAAGTTTAATTCTTCTAATGATTGTTGTATGTCATGAAAAGCTTAATTGTTTGATATACTACTTGTTAATTAATCAAAAGTGTGTTAATTCTGTCTAATGGAAAATAGTAAGGTGCAGGTTAGCTGTTTTAAGTAGGTATTGAGAAAAAGATTTACAAAGCTTTTCAGGTTGACTGAAAAATAATACTTAAAATGGAGTAATTGAAAAAAATTATGACAAATGAATTATTTTTTATTCATATTTATGCGTTAATATTTGAGCTTGGTTGTGTACAAATTCCGGTGGGTTTTTCTACTTGAACTATTTGATGTTGCTAAATAATTTGTAATAATTTATTTTTGCCTCAGCCTTTTAACTGTATCCGTGCAATGTTTTAAATTGTCTGTTAAAACGTACTCATTGCTTAGGTTGCCAGCAGTTCATGGTTACTACAAAAAATTAAGTACTAGAGTGCTGATTGAGGATAAAAAGTACTATCGAAAACATCATAAATCTTGTGGTAATTAAAGCAGTTTTGGTTATTTTGATTATATGATCCAACAGCTTACCCTTTGCCAAACTAAACTTGAAGGCTGAAAGTGTGCTTATTGTGGGACGTTTCTGTGATTTCTCTACAGCTTTAGTACAGCCTCCCTTACCAATTGCACAAGAGGCGATGAAAGATGTTCCTTTTACTAGCCTTGTTCTACCAGTTGGCACAGTTAGTAGCAATATAGCTACTCCAACGTTATCTGCTGGAAGTGTTTTTAATCCTCTTCCAAGCAACAAACCAGAATCAGATGAAAAAGGCTCACATCTGACAGACCTTCAGATTTCTTCCAGTGAAAACAACAGATCTGGTAAGAAATATTGTTACGTTCTTATATTTTCACATGCAAGAAACATCGTATTTTTGAATCTTTATGTAGATCCTTCTCCGTTGCACTAATAACTACAGAGTAGGAAGTTTTAGGCCAGGTTTCATTTTCAATTTAGGAGGAAGGAGTGATGGGAATCATCTTTATTATCATCTGATCGTTGGTTTCTGGCATCTCGTGCTCAGGGGATGAGTCTTTGTAGACTTGAGAAATAAAGCTGAGCCACTGGAAGCCCTTTAAGAATACTTTTTTTAAAAGTGCGTTCTTTCTACATAAGTGACAATGGAAAGGAGTAGGAGAGGGTAGGATGGTATAGTATCTGAAGAATTTTATCAAAGTTTTTGACACTTCTCTTTCACAAATTGGGTGATGGTTGTGGGGTTGGTCAATTTTAAGCTGCTCTACATTCTTTGCTGTGTAGAGGCAGTGGTTTCCGTGGCTTAGTATGCATTTATCACGTATGTGATTAAAATGGTCTATGTCCATTATTCAGAAACAGTGACAGATCTCGTCAGTATCATCACTCTGACTGTGTTAATTGAATAATGGATTAAGCTGCAATTTGTTGTGAATACGCTGTGTTACATTGGTAATTTCTGTTAACTGTTCTTGTTGTTGCTACGTTTTAGTGCAAAATGATGTCTCGAGTAGCTCTGGACTTGTTGGAGGAGTGCAGCCACCCAGCGTTTCAAGCAGTTCTGGGCTTACCGGAGAAGGGCAGCCACCCAGTGTCTCAAGTAGCTCTGGCCTTCCAGGGGCAGTACAGCCACCAAGTGTCTCAAGCAGCTCTGGACTTGTGGGAGCAGTGCAACCACCAACTGTTACAAGCAGTTCTGGTCTTGCAGGAGGAGTGCAGCTACCCAGCATCTCCAGTAGCTCTTCTCTTACAGGAGGAGTTCAGCTGACCAGCGTCTCGAGTAGCTCTGGACTTATGGCTGGAGTGCAGCCACCAAATGTCTCAAGTAGCTCAGGGCTTTTAGCTGGAGTGCATCCACCCAGTGTCTCCAGCAGCCCTGGGCTTCTGACAGGAATGCAGCCACCCATTGTCTCAAGCAGTTCAGGACTTCTGGCAGGAGTGCAGCCACCCAGTGTCTCGAGCAGCTCTGGGCTTCTCATAATGCCACCACCCAATGTTTCAAGTAGTTCTGGACTTATGGGAGTGCCACCACCAAATATTTCAAATAGTTCTGGACTTCTGGCAATGCAGCATCCAGCTGGGGTTCAAAATATGCCTCATTTAAGTATTAGCAATCAAAGAATGCCGGGAATGCCCATTTTAGATATCCGTCCAGGCCTAATGCCCCATTCACCTGGACCAAGGTTTCCATTAATGCAACCTGGAATACCACCGCAGCGCAGTATTCCTCCCCCAGCAATCCTTGATCCGTCTCTCCACCCGCCACCTCGAGGTCCTTTTCCCCCAGGAGATATTTTTAATCAAACAGAAAGACCTTTTGGAACGCCAGGAAGACAAAATATTGATAGCATTGCTAATTCAGAGAAAAGACTCCCACTTGGCGGCGATAACATTCAACAGGAAGGAGACAGAGATTATCGCTTTCCTCCAGTAGAAAATAGAGATAATCTTAACAGACCATCCCCAGTGGATGTCAGAGATTCTGTTGGACGACCACCAGTTGATCCAAGAGAGGGTATAGGAAGACCTCCAGTGGATGGAAGAGAACATTTTGCTAGATCACACGTAGACATGAGAGAGAATTTTGGAAGACCAGGTATAGATAATCTTGGTCGAAGGGAGCATTTTGGTTTCAATTCAGAGAAGCACTGGGGACAGAGAGGAGATTATGATGAAAGAGAGCACCATGCCTTCCCTATTTATGGTGGCCCTAAAGGCTTCCATGAAGACAGAGAGAGGTTTCGGCATGTAAACTATAGGTTTGACAGTAGAAGTGGTCCCAATTGGAATAGAGGATTTGAACAAGATGCTCACAGAGATTTTGATGACCGCAGAAGACCCTGGGAAAGACAGAGGGATAGGGATGACAGAGATTTTAATTTTTGCAGAGAAATTAACGGAAACAGGTTTGGAAGAGACAGAATGTCAAACAACTGGATCCCCCCTCCACATCCAAGGGTATTTGAATATTTTGATGGGGCCACTTCGCAACGCAAAGCTGATAATATGCCCCAGGTAAATGGTGAAAATACAGAGACACAAAGTCAGCCGCCAGCTGCACAGGTGCAGGACGATCCAGAACTTTATGAAAAACTGACATCTTCCAGCGAGATAAACAAAGAGAAGAGTGACACAGAAGCTGATATAGAAAGTGAACCAGTGGTAGAAAGCACAGAAACTGAGGGGACATAATCATCACTCAGTAGGTAAAAGATACCTTTTGTAAAGTTGTCATCTCTCTGTAATAGATAAATGGCTGACTGGACCTTAGCAGTTCACTTTTGTCTGCCAGAATTAAGTTAATCTGATGTTCATGTTCATCTTTCACTTAAATAACTGTACAACTGACTTGTATAGAACACTGTTCTTAATTTGAACATGGTAGGTAAACTTTTTTTATTTCTCTGGTAAAGCATAAACTTGCCCCCACTCGCTTTTAATTTCACAAAGATAAAACAACAGCTTGTCAAACAAAGACTTCCTATGGAAGAAAATGGAATTTTTTAGATACTACCCTTAGGTTGGCTATCGAAATTGTTATACTTGAAAACAGGTGCTGGTGTATCTTGTCCGTGTTTTTAGGCTGCTGCAGAATTTTAAAGTATAGACAAAGCTGTGATATTTTATGTTCCTACAATTTGGCAGAAAAAGAAATGGCCCGTGTCATTTAAGGAGCATAACACAGAGATTAAAAGTGATTTTGTAAAATCTACACTATAGTCTCTGTTTTCTCTAAAGTAAGTGTTTGTGATTTGTTCCTCGTACTGCAGTGGGTTTAAAAAAATGAAAAAGTACATTTTAATGTTGGGTGCATTTTGTTTTTAGATGCCAATAAAGCATATTTGTTTGATAACAGTGTTCTAGGTATTGTATTTTTTTAAAAAACTTGCAAGCTATAAAAACTTGGAATCAGCTATGATATGTGCCTAGATAGTTGTTGCAGAAGGTTTATATTACTTTGTAAGACCAATGCAACAGTTACATGTGCAAGAAGGAAGCATATACTTTTTACGTTGAAAATCATGCAGTCATATTAGTTGATGTATATATCATGTATGTAAATATTTGTGTAAACTGTATGTAGATATCACTATTTCTGTGCGTGCCCATGTATGTGCACACACTCACAGAATAATGTAGACAGTTTAATAAAATTGAAGTGAAATTAGGGTATAAAAATTTGCCTTTCACCTTCTTTACGTAGTAAGAAAACATTTATTTGACTTCAGTGTGCCATGTTTGTGTTTATCTTCTCCTGTTCATAGCTATATATGTTCTTACTACTTCTAGAAGGTGGAACATGATATACTGTAAGGATATACAGTAGGATTTTAGGTTACTTTTTGAAAATGCAGATATGCATGAAGACAAAACTTAAGCAAATAATTGCATTGTCTTATTCTGTAATATATTTGATATTCTGGATAGGTAGTGGTAGCATTAAAGAATTTTGTGGTTATTTGTTTTCAGTAACTCTCCAAAGTCCAGAATCGTTGCACAAAAAGTAAAAAGCTGTTGTTGGTCTAAAAAAAAGCCTACATATTTTTAACAGAAATAAGGGGCTTTGTGTTTTGGTGGCTTAATATTGAAATAGAACCTCTTGCTAAATTGTTGAGAAGAATTGACTGCTTAGGTAAATTAGTAACCCTGTTCTCTCATGTTTCACTTAACTTTGCTGCTTGTATATCCTTCAAATTAATTGGTGGTGAAAGATTTGGCTATATGGTAATGTGAGATTTTCAATTTGTCCTCTTGAGTTCATTCCACCAACTTTTTTCAGCATAACTTCTGTTGAAATTCCATGTCTGAAAGTACCTTTCACTGAGTTTTGAGAGTGCTTTTTTTTTCTCTCAAGCGTGCTTAATAGGATCGAAGAGTAGATTCTGTTAAATCAGTACCCCATTGGTAGAAGAAACATTTTTAGCTCAGATTAGATTTCTGATCTTTATCATTAAAGCCTAAACAAGCAAGTTTAAATTCCCCTCCCACTTCCCCAAAAGGGACGAAAATACGAGGATGTCATGTGAGTGTAAAGCATAAGCATGCCTTGAATGTAGAGTCAAGTTATGTATGTATTTGTTGCCTTCCCCCTTGGCGGGAGGGGTGGTATTTATTCATTTTGTGTCATGGTTCAGTTTTAAACTTATTAGGACTCTTATTCTGGATAGCAAAGAAACAGTCAGCTTAATGAAGCTAGCCTTTTGAAAGAGCAGACATGAATGATTCTTTCGGCTGTGCAAGTAGTGTTATTAGGATGTCATGAGATGTGCGTTAAATAATTGTTGCTTTGTAATAGACGTTGCTGACATGCTTGTTACCAGAACATGTCTCAGGAATTGAGATGGACGATATTTAAGGCAAAAGTACCTTCATCTGCAGACTCTGTGGATCAAAGAACTTGACTGATGACGCTGCACCTAGCAATAGTATTCTGGTCAGGCGTATGTGGTTGTGAAAGTCCAAACACACAAAATAGCTGTAAGGTTTTTTTTGTGAAATTAAGTGATTTTGTTATTTCATTTAATTTGTGCAGATTGAAAAGATTTTGGTTACAGAGCATGCAAATACTCAAAATCAGCCATGAATATTGGCAGTAGCTTTCCTTTTCAAACATTTTGTTAAGTACTTTTTTAAACTAAAAGTTAATCTCTTTTGCATTTTTCTAAACTGGGACTTGTAGTATGCCAAATTTCTCACAGTATGATGGTGCGGGTAAATTATCAGGTGAGAGAGGTTAAAGTAATGCAGCTGATAGTGATATAAAACAATGTATTATTTATGATTTTTCATCTTTGGTAGTATCCTTCAAACATTAATAAATTGATTACTGTATGTGTAGTAATACTACTGTATGTAACACTACTAGTATGTGTGCTATACCATCAATTTCCGATAGCTATTTTAATTTGTTCATGGAATAAAAGTTTATTGTACAGTCTTTAGCTTCATCGCCTTTAGAGCTAGGACTATTCCATTTCTTATTTTATTAATTAATATAGGATGCATACAAATATTACCAAAGGAGACGTATTCGGCAGGGACAAAATATTAGCAGATAGGGAATGGTTTCTTCGTCTTTTCAGTTAAGATTTTTAAATCTTTCAGAGTCTGAGTGAAGACTGTCCTCTCTCACTGTAAATTAAGCCGTCATAAGCCAACACTTGCACAGAAAGGAACTATCTAATATCCAGATCAATTCCTTGATGCAGTTCAAAGTACAGGAATATAATTTTTGCAGATATAAAGGAAAAGGTGAGAATAGGGCAGAAAGAAGATGGGAGCCAAGCATTTGGGCAGCAGTTCTGGCCAGTATAAAGTTTCCTCTGGTGATGAAAGCTGTCGATTGCAGCAACGAAATAACCTAATCTATAATGCTTTATCCATGTTTTTATTTATATAAGCAATATGTATATTGAAAAACAGCTTTGCAGACAATGCAAACAACGTATTAGGCATACACAGTTATTGGAAAACCTTACACATTAGCAAGTTGTCTTAAGCAGCCAGTGATTCTGACTGTACTTCAGCAGAAAACTGTATCTGTACAAATTACGAAGATGAAACATAGCCATTATTTGCTATAATGACATGATTTCTTTGCTGGAGTTTTCTCTTCTGTGGAGTATTGGTACGCTTTCTTTTTTTAATGTAGTGTTTCACGTTATTATTACAAACTCAATGGCATAGATTGTTAGATTGTTGTAGTGGAATAGTATGCCACTCTTCGAGGCATTTCAGTAATTTAAATGACTTTATTTATGAAGTCAAGGCAAGACAGGAATACTGTGATCAACCCTGTAGTGTGGTATGAGTAGGCATTACTTAAGCACTGTGGGAAAATTATCAAATAAGTTGTCTATAGAAGGTATTTGTAAAATAAGCCAATTTACTCCAGAGAGTTCTCCCAAAATACTCTATCAGCAGTTTTGAACGTGTGTGAGGATACACTGTGGCTGTGAACACTTGAAGTACTCATTTGCTTGATTCATGTTCCACTAACTCTCAAATCTTTGGTTCATTTAATTTCAAATTGGAAAAAATGGATCTCAGATTTCCTCCTTTGTGTTTCCAGTAACATCTTTAAAAATTACATAAGAATGGTGGCTTCTCTGTTTAAATAATGGGAGGTGAACAGGTATAACCTCTTCAGAATACTAGGAGTCACCAAGAGTAACTAGGGCAATTTTTCATTGCTGTTAATTAAGGTAATGAAAGGATTTCTCCTTCCCTATTGACAATTAGTACTGATTCTTTGAATTTTAGATTAGTTAAATTTTCCTTTAAAGTGCTGGCTTACACAAGTAAGAACGTTCTGTCAAGTCATCTACGTCTTGTGTGAAGGATTATGTTTGGACCTGTTTTAGTCAAATTATTGCTGATGAGAGATAGATTTAAAAGGCATGAAGGCAGGGTATCTCTCAGTGCTTTTCTACAGAATATGTATTTTTAAGCCTTTACTTTGTTTTTTAAATTCAGAGATACTTATCTGAACACGAATGGCAAAAGCATCTTTCTGTCATACCGTTTCACCGTGTTCATTCACATCAGCAGAAACCTTGCAGTGGCAAAGAGTATATCTCACTGGACGAACTTCTTAATAATAACTAGCCTTATATCTTACATTTCTGCTTTGAAGGGTCATCTTTGTGGTGGTTTTCACTCCATGTAGCCCGTACAAGTTCTAGAGTAAACTTTAGATACTCAATAAACATTTTGAAGTTTGTTTTAACATATGTCCATGATGTTTCATACTCAAGAAAGGTCAAGCAGAGCTACAGAAATGCGAACACGTAACATTTTTTTAAAGGTAGTAACTTCCAGCAAAGTTGTATATGATCTGAAACATGCTTTTTGTCAGAGATAAGATGATATGAGTCTTCTAATAGTTCTGAGGTTGCTAAGCTGTAAAATTGTATTAGCCTTAGTTCTTACATTCTTTTCTATCTTGCACAGGCTTCATAGAAAACAGTAGTCTCATTGAACATCCCAGTCGTAGAATGTTTTAGAATATCTTAGAATATTTTATCTTAGAATTGGCTTTGCTACCAAAGATTAGGAGAAGAAAAGGAGTAATGATGTTCTCTTAAAAATTGGGTGCAATTGAAGATGAGTGTATTTTCACTTCCTAAGAAGTTTAAAAAAAGTTTAAAATGCACATTTCAGCACTTGTATAGCAGCAGTGATAGTGATATCTTGGGTTTACTAATCTTAGTCTATACTTTGTCACTTTTTTTTAACAGTTAACTCATTAATGCTTTTTTTTCCCCCCTTCTATCAGGTGAGATTATATTAATGCCCTTAGTCAAGGAGTGGTTTTATGCTTTACAGGAAAAATCTGGTCAGCGAGTATTTCAACCTGTAGATAACTTAGTTTAACTGTTTGGCTTCCTGATTGGTTAATGCTTTAATGCTGAAACATTCCCCTTGAATGATTTTGCGTATGCCTGTATCATAATGGATATAAGGATTCGCACTAGCATGTCTCAAGATTTTTGTAGAAATGAAGAAAAATAATGAGATTCTTGAAGGTAGATGACTTGATGTGTTTCTAAAACTAGGGCGCACTTCACATACTATTGTATTGATCTACATATTGGAGCATTATAACTGTGTGCAAGCCAGTGCAAAAAATCTTTACTAGGTAAAGAGCATCGAATGGATAACTGGATGGTAACTCAGACCTAGATAGATAGGATTCATGTAGGCCATAGATGCAGGGGACTTTGGATCTGAATGCGACTTCCACACAAAAGGAGGGACTACAATATAATTACATCCAGCAAACTGAGAAATGTAGCCTAGCCTCCCACCCTTTTTTTCTGGCAACACAAAAAAAAAATCAAAGCATGAATAGGAAATCCATTAAATAGTTTCAGAGTACTTGAATTCTCTTTTCAAAATGTATTTGCTTTCTTCCAATTAAAGCAAGCTATATCATTGTCACTGTAGTTTATCAAGAGAAAAAATTGTTTAGGTTTATGCTGCTTCTGAAGTAATCAGACATCTTTCAGCAATGCAGTGAAATACAATTTTCAGTGTGCCTTAATTTCTTCCCTATATAAAGGAACATATGTTGTAAACTTTAGGCAAAAATGTGGTCAAAATAAGCAAACTGTTGTCTAGAGAATTTGAAGTGTAATTTAGGGTTCTATAATTTTTTTTTTTAGATACTACTGGAATGACAAAAATTAAATTTTCTATGTAAATAATACTAAATGGAGACTTAACTTTGCAAACATTTATAAAAAATTGTATAGAATATAGGCTATTCTACCATACACGAATATTGATTTTTTTCATTTATTGTCCTATACATGCAATATGTTATTGTGTCAAGTAGTGTCATCACAGAATTCCTCTCACCGCAAATTAGAAATATCTTTGAATTACATAATTGAATTACATAATTAGATTATTTAAATCTAAGACAATCAGAAGTCTTTCTCTTGAAATTCGTGATTTACTTGTGCAGTGTAGTGACCCACATAAGGAATTCAGTTTTGAGAACGAGAACCTTGTTGATCCAGCTATCTGTGATTTAAGAGGTCTCATTCCATTATATATTGAAACTAAATTGAAATGTTTGCGCATTCATTTGGAATTTTATTATTAGAAGCGAAATTAATGGCATATTCTCAAATTTCTTTTTGATGAAAAATTTTACCATATTAAAAAGATTGTGCAAGATTGATGGGATGTAGTTCTATGCATTCTTAAAATGAGTGAGGAATCCATTATTTTTATTAGAATAGAAGCCCTTGAAGTAATGAAGTTAAAGATTTTATTTATACAAAATGTTGAAATGTAGTCTTAATTTTTTGTGCATCCTGTCTGCAATTTTTAATTTGTATGTATGCTTTTTTATATGCTTTACATCTGCAATCCTTATAGCATGATCAAAACTATTATGGAAAATAGAAAAAAATGGCATAAAATGGCAAATTCTAGCAGACTTTGAGAATATTGTACAGATTGGACGTGTATATGCACAGTGGATAATGTTGTTTCAGAAACAATAGCTTGCTAGCCTAACTTGAAGTCAAATAAAAACTCAATTACAAAACATTAATAAATCTTTCCTTTTTTTTAGATTTAATAAAAGCTAATGCACACATTCTGATTAAATATTCACTGATTAATAAGGATCCAAAGATGATGATTAGTCCTGAGCATTTTTCTTAATGTTGCTCATATGCTCAAAAAAAAAAAAAACCCAAAATGCTAAATGAAAACCAGGAAACTGTTTAGCTATATGTGTAAATATTTTTAAGGCTACAAGTTTATTGGAAAAAATGGCTTAATAGAAAAGTTAATATATCTATTTGGGTATTTTTTAAGCAGTAGATACTGCAGAACACAGAAGACCTCAAGGAAAAGGGTGATAAAGAATATTTTATTTATGAAGAATGTGTTGAACTGAAATGTCAGTTTAAAATCCAAGATTTGGTTTTTCCCCCATTTGAGTTGTCCCCAATCTAAGTACTGACTTTATTCAGGGTTCTAATCTGAATGATGGTTAGAGGATATTCTGATTTATTTTATTTTTACTCACCTCTCATGTTCATGTACATCACCAATAATACAGGTACAGACAGCTGCTGAGGAGTTGGGAGTGATGTTGTTTGGGACAAAACTATCAGAGAAATCTCAGTAAACAGAAGAGGAGGTTACTGAATTGTGTAAACTACAATCTGAAGCTTTACTATTGAGTAATGTCTGCTTAGTACAGAGATAATTTCTCATTAATTTTTAGTATCTCAGTAGTTAAAAGGAAGAATGCATTTCTCTCTTAGTAGCCTCACAGTTTGGAAAGTCCTAGCTATAATATAATTTACTTTCTGCTATCTGTAGAAAATACAGTCTTTTTGATAAAATTTATTACATTGATTTTCATGTTATTTCTAGAGACTCAAAATAACGCTTATTCAGCCTTAATATAAAAGCTGTGTATGAAATCCTGCTTCAGTTGTTTACCGGTAGGTGTTGACACCGGCTTCACTGGATCCAGAATTTCAAACCCTTTCTCTTGTGTGTCTTAGTTGCTTCTGCCACAGCTTTTAGAAAAGCAGATGGTAGAAGATTATCTGGTTCTAGCTTCATTGTCTGATTTTTTTGCTGCTTTTAAGCCTAAAGTCTTCTAGGGTTCGCCCTGCGCCTTCAATTTTTTGAGAGTCTGAGAGTATGAGGGGGTAGCTTGTACTAAGTGTCTGAAATATAGCCAGCCGTATACTCATCTATGATGTGGTAGGAAATTCATAGAATAAGAAAGCAAGCAACTTAAAGCTCGTTAAATACACTGGTCTTCGCTTCTTTCTCTCCAGAAATCTTCCCAAGCAAATTATATCAATACAGCTTGTAGCTTTGTAGAGCTGTTCATTGTTATTTGTCCAGAATCCATGAGGTGTACTCATCTTCTTTTCTCCATCTGCTTACTGCTTTTTTGAAAGGTTGTATTTTGTTCAAGTAGCTTAATCTTCAAATGATTTAAAGAAAAAGTAATGTTCTAGGTTAATAAAGTTTTCTTCATTGTAGAATGCACTGCCTAACAACTCTCCTCAATAATTTTTATTTACCAGTGAAAAGTTCTTTACATTTCTGTATGAACTAGAGTAGAGATAAAAATGGATGACACGTTAAAAAAAAAAAAAACCAAAAGCAAAAGACAAATAAAAATTTTATCCAAAAGATATGTATTTTTGGTCATGATCGTTTGAGTCCAGCATGTCCAATGATATAACTAAAATGGCACTTTTCCCACCACCTAGCAGTTTAGGCTGTCAATGCTTTTCACAACTTACATGCAGCTTGAGAAGTTAGGCACAAGTTAGAGTGACCTCGGGAGTTATCCCGTGCAACACAGTTGCACAGTGTGATGAATGCAAAAGTCTTACATTTCCCTTCTCCAAATAATGTATAAGCTTTCTTATTCACAGTGAAGAGATTTAAGCTAAAAATTACCTGAAAATGATGAAGGATTTCACTTTTCCCAAATTCAGAAATTAATTTATTCTAAATGTGTATGATCTTTTGAGGAGAGAGCAAACATATATGAATCCACAAGGAATAAATATGCAAAAAAAATTTTTAAACCTTCCCAGCAATTTTATGGATAGGATAGTAAGACCCAAGAAAAGTCTGCTAGAGAACTCAAAAGGTTTTAACTTGTGTTCTGCTCTACCAGACTGACTGGCTTTTTTCGAAAGCCATCTATTTGAAAATTATATTTTCTTACAGGAGCTCAAGAAATTTCACTGGTTTTCTTTTGTCTCATTCAGTTTTTTTCTGAAATGGTATCTAGTAAACATTTTATAATAACATTTTGAAATGATACATCTTGTCTCAGTAATTGTCTAGCATTGACTTGAGGTACGTACTGCAAGATACACAATACCTTAACATTTATTATTGTTAAACTATTGAAGTATATTTATTAACAGCCATTTTGTGGAAGCTTCTGGAAAGCTTAGTCACACTATTTACAATCTCTGCATCACGTGAAAGGATACACGATGCAAATGCATGTCAAAATGTAATATGCTCCTCTTGCTGTGCATCTTACAGTCGTGGGTTCCTCTAGCTGAAGCATCTTTTTGAGTTTTGCCTTCTACTCTTACTCTGTCAAAGTTAGTCTTGGGTGTATTAACCTATAGGTTCAAGTGTACATCATCTATGAAAATCAGGTGAATATTTAAAAATCTAAATTAAGTTAGGATTTTAAATTTAACTTTCTGTGAAGTATTTGGTTGGTTACACCAGATTTTTATATCATTTGGTGGTTAGTGTCTTACTTTTTAAGTAAAAATAAGCAAAATTGTCAGTATAAGTCTAGGCTTGAAAGCTAAAACAGTTGTGTCGAGATCTCACAACTATAAAATCATTGTATACAAGAACAATGTTAAAACATAGCCATTACCAAGAATTCTTCAGTTTCATTAAGAAAAGAAAAAGAAAAGCCTGTAGGAATGTCTTCAAAACATGATCGTTGTATAACAAATATACTGCTGTCTGAATTTGGGGAAACATGAAATCATGGATAAAAAAGATATGAAGTAGTCTCATTTATCTGAATGGAGTGTTGACCGACTCATAACAATTGACAGTTCATACCGTTAGACAGTGCCACATTTTCAGTGGCAGAGGAGATGCGGCTATGGGTGAACAGATAATTCCTTAGAAAATATATTGTTTTACTGTTATTTTTATATTTAAATTTTTTTACACAAACTGTCACAGACCTGCCATTTAAGCAGTGGAGAATCTGTAGACTTGCCAGAAAATTTAGGAATAAGAGTTTGGATGATGAGGCACTAATATTTATAGTAACATTTCTGTTTACTGAAAGAGAATTTCAGCCAGTACTGTAGGTGAAAAATAGAGAAATCTAAGTGAAAATGAGTGAATTGCACTGAATATCTAAAGCAAGTTTCATTTACACTGGGATACCTTTTTCCCAGGACTGTCATAAAGTCTTTTTGCAAAAATTCTTTGCTTCATACAAGGATTTTTTTCTCCTCTCTTCGAAAAGTGTATGTTAACTGCAAATTTCTTCTCCTTCCAAGGTAACAACTGTCTAGTTGAAGGGATCTTTCTTTTTCAAGCTTTAAAACAATTCTAATCATGGCAGAGTTGTTTTTTAAAAAAATTTAGCACTTACTAGTGTGTTAGTAGAAGCTCAATCATCTTTTGTTTTTTCAGTTTAAGGAATCAAAATGAGGAATACATGGGGGAAAAAAGTGTATGTAGCATACTTTGGAAAGGCTCAATCTTGTCTGTGTTGGGTTTTGTTACTTGAGAGTATACTGTTTTCAGCCTTATGCTGTAGAAAATGGTGTTCTGGTGGGCTGTGACACAACCTTAATTGCTTTGGCACTTTGACTTGAAAAGCCACGTGCCAGAGCTTTTCATCTCAAGGCTATGAAGTAACACAGGGAGTCCAGGCAAATCCAGGCAGTGCTGTGTATTATGGATGCATCTGCAGACTGCTAGAGGTGTACCAGCCTTGAGTAGTATAGACGCAAGGCCCCAGCTGACCTATGGATCCAGGCTTTTGTTTCTGTTTGAGCCACAATAAGATTATTACTATGCTGGGTAGCAGAATAATCTCTTCTACTGAACTTTGTCAGGTGGTTCATGTGTCACTTCAAAAAAGTCTATTTGTGAATATTAAGTTAACCAAAAATATGTTCTTCAAGTTAGTCATTGCTAGCTGGTCAAATTTGTGAAAGCAGTGCTATACTTGAAAAGAGCCATGTTAAAAGCGGGAAAGGAGAGAGAGATATGCTTAAACCACTATAAATGCTTGTTCGCATTGTTTTTAAAACAGATCGAGATATAATAGGCCTGTGAATTCCTATTTGCAGGTATCACTTTCCAGGGAAAAGTCAAGAGTTAAATTCCAAAACTCTTCAGGGCTTTGACCTTTTAAAGTACTCGTGATAGGTGGATGGCTCAAACATACTGTCCTCTTTGCATCTGTCTTCCTACACCTTGTCCAGTCTTGACCATGGTTGGCCACAACCCCCACAAAAATGCTACACCCCATCATCATCAGTGTTCCTAACCTAGATGTTCTTCAGCCTCCCTCGGTAGCCTTTTCAGTCCTCCTATACTATTGTTCTCAATTAACTTCTTAAAAAGTTTGAAATATTAAATTTGGCATGCTTTCTTTGGTACACTATGTCTACCGGAATAACAAAATGCTTCCCCGACTTTTATTTCCACTCTCTTTTGATTTCTTCAACAAAGGTCTTTGCAATGAGCATGTCAAAGC